TGACAGAAGAATATAGCGTTTAAAAAAAGAAAGAAAAAGAATGGGCTGGGATCGGCACTCCCACGCGGGTAGGTCCTCGAGGCACCCCCTTGCGATAAAAAAGGAGGTAACGAATGTAGGGCCGTAAGCTGGACGGGTACACCTCCAGTTGTCTCTCCTTTTTTTTTTTTTTTTTTTTTTTTCCCCTCCAAAATGTCTATCGTGTCCTTTTTGTTTTTGCTTTATTGAAAAGGAACTGGTTAGGGCCCGGTGGATCGTGTCCTTTCGCACCCGCTTTCCGCCCCTCCCCTCTGTCGAGAGTGGAGAGTGGAGAGTGGAGAGCGCACAAATGAAAGACAGGTGATGTCCTATTGTTTTTTTTTTTTTTGCTTTTTTTTTTTTTGAACATCAGGCACAGGCGACTACCGTACTGCGGGGGCTGATTTCCTATTGTTGGAGCCAGCAGTATCCGACCGTCCACCGTCCATTGATTGCCCGCGATACTGCACCGTTTCATATGGCGTTCACGAGTTCACCTTCTCCCGCCGCCCCCTGCCCGACCAGTTCTCCCCCCCCTCCGCACCCCTTTCGTGGCAAAACACACAAAAGAACATTTGCGCCGTCGATCGTAGACATCTCACGGCCGCTCGCGCCTGCGCAAGACTGTCCGCGTGCTCTCCGCGACAGACTCTTTTTGGGACATCCGAATTTTCACTCTCTGAAATTCGTCATGGCTGCACTACTCTCCGTGTCGATTGGCGAATTCGGAGAAAACGCATCCACATCACAGAGTGGAGAGTAAAGTGCGCGGTGATTGGAAGTAGTACACCAGTCTCGGCCTACTGGTAGTCTTCGATATACCGGAGAGCGAAGAGTAGTGCAGCGAGACCCTATATGACGATGTGCTTGTTCATCTCTGTATTACTCTGTCAGTTACAAACTCGATTTCGAAATAGGAAGAAAGACCTGTTCTCTGCATAGTACGACTCTAGTCATCTTGTGTTCCCCTCGTCGTCTGCCTCTCTCTCTCTCTCTCTCTCTCTTTTTCTCTGTTACTGGCGCTCGCGCGCACGTCCCCGTCTGATCTGAACACCAGCCCGCTAATTTTCTCTCTCGCTTGTGGAACTTGGGAATGAGAGAGGGTGGGGAGGGGAGAGAGAGGAGGAGGAGGGAAGGAGAAGATGTGGGAAGGACGAGACGGTAGGGATGGAGAAGGCAGGGTGGGAGGATGATGAGATTTTCCACTCGTGCGTTATGTATATCATCACGGTCTTTTCAAACATCCGCTTATTTGATGCCTTCGTTTACTCTGTCGGCGTTGTTTTCGTGCCCGCCGTCAGTCGGCCCATCATCAAGGTTCCCCTGTCGTTGGTGCTCTTCGAGGGTTCATTTTGAATCTCCGTATGCGTACATCGCTATGCGTATGACGCGTAGAGAGAAAACGTCGTGCTTGTCCGTTTGATCAGGGACGATCGCTTCGCGTCGTGAGAGGTGTAGGCTCGGCGGGAAGAGGGGGCCGGGGGAAGGGGATAGGGGGAAGGGAAGGGGGACTCGTGTGGAATGTAGGTAGATAGGGAAGTATTTCTTTATGATTCTATTGGTGTAGATTCCACGAATGTGAACAGATGGGTGCGTAAACCATCGCCAGACGCTGGCTTTCACCCCGTGGCAGTCGGGCGTCTCCCTCTCCCTCTCCCTCTCATACGTGTTCTGGCCTATTATTCCCTTGCTGACTCAGAGCGTGGCGTTTGTGAACGAGATGACGAGAACCGGATCGGATCCGCGTTCACACTCGCCACGTCAGCATGGCTGATGAAAGTAGGTTGCGGTTTCCAGTTTCGGCGGCTATTGGCGCCTAAACTTCGCCTCCGGTCACTTTTGAGGAAGGAGGAAGATAGAGAGATGTTTGTTTGTGTGAATTCCAACTTGCGCTGCGTCCTTTGAAATTCCTTCACGTCCCCTGCGGATTTAATCCCC